TGAGAGTGTGAAGTGGATGAGAGTGTATGGATTGGTGTGCTTATATAATGATTGATGTGCCAAACAAAACAGAGAACGTGGGCCTGCAGGTCATGGGTCGGTGGCTGAGAATTTTGAAAAAAAAAACCAAAAGAAAATATAAAAAATAAAGAGGAAATTACCTCACCCACGACACCTCACCTATTTTATTGCACCTTTACCATTAGATTAAAAACTTTAGCAAAGATACGAGATTATTAGATTAGGAAATAAAAATACATTATCCCCAATTAATACTCACTTATTAAGAATAGTTATTGAAATTAAGAAACTACCTCCATATTTCTCTCCCTTGTTGAAATTAAGAAACCACCTCCATATTTCTCTCTCTTTTCCCATCTCGATGCTTTTTCTCTCTTTTCCCATCTTCATTCTCATGATGCTTTCTCTCTTTTCCCATCTCTATTTTTCTCTTTCTCACACATCATCTTTCTCTTCTACAATCCGCCACAATTCTCCTCCTCCAACTGCTCCCCCCTTTAAAAATTGTTTGGATAAAGAGAGAGGCCCATTCGAATTCCTCAATCACCATATATATACACAGCAGAATACGTGAAAAGAAGAAAACAAAAGCCCTAAATTTCAGTTCATGGTCGCAGGAGTTCGAACATTTGAAGATAAACGATGACAACGACGATTCCATGGGTAGCGATTATGACGAGGTAGCTGAAGCCGAAGCCTGGTGGGAAGTCTTCAACCATGAAAGAAGCGAGAAATCAAAGCAGGTTGCCTAGGATTTTCTCCAACAAGTCGATTGAATCAGGTTGCCCAGGATTTCCTCCAACGAGCTTTCAACGGTGAAAGAAGCAAAAAATCAAAGCACGTTGCCCATGATTTTCTCCAACCGTAAAAAATAGATCTCCGCCGGATTCCAATTTTGAGGACGAATTTTAAACAACAAGTATAAAAATTTTAATTTGTATATGTTGAGTATATTGTATGTATATAATTCATTTTGTATTAAATAGCTTCGAAACTGTTATTTTATCAATAACATTAGGTTGTATATGTTCAGTATATGTAATGTATATGTGACATGTTTTTTCTGTTGTGGATTTTTTGGAGCAACTGTGTATGTTCATTAACCAATGTCTCTGTATTGGGTATGCTAATAGTTTATGATATGTATATATATTTCTTGATTGGAACAACTGTGTATGTTCATTAACTGATATGTTTATTTCTTTTTGGTGTATATTCGACACATATTTAAACAAATGTAAAGATTTTACTTGGTATATATTAAGTATATTATGGAAATATTCTGTATATTCATTAACAGGTTTCTGTGATCGTGTATATTCTGTATATTATGATCGTGTTTTTATTGTATATTGAGAGTGTACGTTTATAGATAGATTTTTTTTTTTTATAAATATGTATATATTGCGTTTATAGACAATATAAATAAACGTACTTAACTGATTGTAACAATATCACATATCAAACACTTAAAATATACATTACATTAAGAATCACACGCCACCAGAAAAATAGCAAACAATTCAATTCGTTTTTCAACACTAAAAAATTGCAGATTATGCATACGAAACATATACTTAAAATATACAACACATAAACTGATCATATACCAGACATAAATATTAATAAACACTAGATAAATATTTATTCATAATCTATGTATTCTTGTATTAGTTTATAAACCTATAGTGATATGAAAAATAAACTAGATATTCTGAATACTTGATGTTTTCATAATTTTTATATTCTTGTACTGGTTTATAAACCTATAATAAACTACTATGTGTTCTTGAACTGATTTATAAACCTATAATAAACTGAAAAATAAATTAAATATAAATTTACGGTAAAAAAATAATTTACGAATTTACATAAGAGATAATTAAATTTAAATTGAATGGATAAAGAGAAGAGAGAGGATGGAAGGAGAATATTATGGAGGAGAGAAGGAAAAAAAAAAAACGGATGAATACAAAATATAGTATGTGGAACAAGAAAAAGAGTAATGAATGAGAATTATTAGGATAATAAATGAAAATTGTTAGGAGTAGATAAATGAGAGAGGAGAGAGAATACTTTTTGTATGTAGTATTTATCTAAATATTTATGCTAGGTTAGGTAAATGTGCAAATAAAGTTTATCATCTAGTATTTTTACAATTATTTATAAATGAATTAAGTATACATGTAAATTGCCCAAAAATAAATATTCAAAAGTTTTCC